ACACGGCTTGGATCAGTTACTCCAAAGATGGAAAATTGAAGAAGAGAGAAACAATAATTCTCGGACCCCACCAAGAGAGAGTCCGATCATGGAGGGGCATTTCGAGGAATTATCGCAGAAAAAATTCAGACCCCTCCTTCCCTCCACTCAGAGCCCGAGTTGCCCCTCTTACTGTCTCCGGTTTAGCGCCGAAAGGCATCCGCAGGTGAAGCTTTCTAGGCGCTTCAAGTTGCCTTCATCATTCCAACCATGTCTTTGGTTTCAAGGGGAATCTCGGTCAAAGAAGGATGGAAATGCATTGAACTCGCCAAGCTATATAAGACGAGCAACACGGATTCCCCACGGGTTAAACGAAATTTTGGATTATTCGAGGCCATTCCTCTGAAGATTACGAGGCCTAAGCGACGCGCCAAGCGTCCTGCGACAAACTCAGGGCCAGCCTCATCGACAGTCGATTGCTTCCAGAACCGACAGGAATTCCTCAGGGATCAGAAAGGGGTTTTGGGTTTTGGGCGCTCAACAGTGAACCAGTTTCAAGTTGAAGGTGGCAGCCTATCGCAGCATTTTGTCGAGTCGTTGCATGGTTTTTGCTGGATGTTTGGTTTTGGCTAGTTGCCAGGCAAAAGTCTTGTCTGGTCTTGAGCATTCCACGCCGCGAGGGAAACTGAATTGACTGGATTGAAGAAGCGAGTGCTTCTCTTGATGGCTTGATAATTGGGAGGCTCAGCCTTTTTCTCTCGCAGTTGCAAGACGCGCTAGGCACGTGGTTTGGCGCAACAGGGACCTCTGCGCCCGTCCAGGGGCAGTGATTGCCGGCCAACGAACTCTCCTTAACCATTGAGCTTTCCGCCAAAGGTCAGATCCAACGATTCGATTACCGGGGATCGATAATAGTTCTCCCGTCTGTCCGGGTTCCAACTCTGTTTGACACGACACCACCTTTCGACGGCCGCAACAAGATAGGACTATTGGTTAGCGCCTTGTCGCCCTTTATCGCCTCCAACCTATATATTGCCCCTACCCCGCCACAGTTTGCTCCGCGGAGATTCACAAACCATCTTCTTAACACCACCACGACCTTATCTTTGAACTGTTGGACACTAGCCATACATCGACCAGACACCGTCGCAGCGCCCACAGAATCGCGCCAGCCTCCTTCTTATCACCGTCCCCTACGCCGTTACGTCAGGACCCTGGGCCAATGGTAGCATGATTATTTGTCTCTGGACGATTTGCTTATCACAGCTGGGAGCTTGAGCCGCACCTAGTGGTGTCGGTCAGGCCAGTACCGTCGGCATATGGCCGTCTCATAGCCTGCTTGTGGTGCAGGCCTTATCTTTGCCATGCCCACGCAGGAACGGATCCTTGGATTGCATCTCTTGAGACGTGGGACCTGGAAGTTGCATAATCAACATTGCAGGGAAGCTTCATACGCGGATTAACCCCATTCTGAGGAGTGATCCCTTATCATTACTGGACTAGGGTTTCAAAAGACAGCTCGCTCGCCGTATAAGGGGACCAGATAGTCTGTTGAAAAACTAGACTACACGAGCTTCAGTAACAGATAGGCGTCACTCCGAGCCAGCTGTACACGGGTTCTAGGAGGCCTTTTCCGAGGCTAGTCCCTTGTCCGGCTCAGGGGACAGTTGTTGTAGCCCCGGAGGCTCTGTCACTCTCCCACCAAGACGGCCCGCTCTAACCCCCGTCGTCACTCCCGTCGTTATCGGATCAGCACGGAACCCCGAGCAGGAATCTGGTTCAAGCATCTCCGGGCTCCGGAGCATCACGTCTATTCTCACCTGTGCCCTCAGTGAGACTTCACAAACACAGATAGAGGCGCATTATCGACTTGAAACTTGCAGGACATTCATAGGAGATCCGGAGATGCAATTTCTAGATTGTCCAACATTTTGGTTCTTGAAGAGGACTGAATTGTTCTTGTATATATGTGCTGGGTATCATCCTTCTTAAACAGGATCAACAGGCTCGACACCAACAAACAACAACACCGTCGCCACAGACTCTTGACCCTCATTTTACTATTCGATCGCTTCCACAAGAATCGACAACATATCTTGAGGTCTCTTTGAATTCAACGACAAGCCTGTTCATCATGGGTTTTCAAATCGCCCATATGTGGAAGGCCCCTGAGGTCAACCCCATCAGCCGGAAAGCTCGAAGTGTGCCAGTACTCAACCCCGTCGACATCTATGGCCGTGTTTTCTTCTTCTCCTGGATGGGTTTCATGCTCGCTTTCTGGGCATGGTGAGTCATTTGATTGAGACTTTGTTCGACTTTGGTGTATTGACTAGACTTTAGGTACACGTTCCCTCCCCTATTGACCGTCACTATCAAGAAGGACCTTCACCTTACGCCTGCCCAAATCGCCAACTCCAACATCGTCTCACTATCGGCTACGTTCTTCCTTCGATTCATTACGGGACCGCTATGCGATCAGTTTGGACCACGACGGGTTTTCGCTTACCTGATCCTTCTTGGCTGCTTCCCTATCGGCCTTGCACCCCTTGTCAAGAATGCAACTGGCCTCTACATCTCTCGATTCTTCATCGGTATTCTAGGTGCAACCTTTGTGCCTTGCCAGGTTTGGTGCACCGGTTTCTTTGACAAGAACATTGTCGGCACCGCGAATGCTTTGGCTGGTGGATGGGGAAATGCTGGTGGTGGAATGTAAGCCAACCCTATACCTTCACAAGACAACGATGGCAGGACATCAAATACTAACTGGGGATCTAGCACCTATTTCATCATGCCTGCCGTTTTCGACTCTTTGGTTGCTCACCAAGGCCTAACCCCTTCCAAGGCTTGGAGAGTGACCTTTATTGTTCCTCTGATCTGCTTGATTGTATGTGGTGTGGGCATGCTCCTGCTGTGCCCCGACAGCCCCATGGGAGACTGGGACGACCAAGCCCAGCAGGTCCGCAAGAACATGGAGGAACATGGTGTTTCTACTTCTGATGAGATTACACCAGTGGGTACACCAGATCGCTCAGGATCGGACGAGGAGAACAGCGCTGGCTGCGAAAAGGACGTCAAGGTTGGCGACCACGAGCATTCGATTACACGCAACGAGGCCATGGAGATTGCACAGGGTGAGATTGTGGTCAAGCCCAGCCTCAAGGAAGCGCTCCCTGTTCTCTACTCTCCCCAGACCTTCTTCCACGTTGCTACCTATGCTTGCTCCTTCGGCGGCGAGCTTGCCATCAACGCTGTGCTGAGCGCATACCTGAAGAAGAACTTCCCGCACCTGGATCAGACCAAGGCGAGCAACTACGCTGCCATCTTTGGATTCCTCAACTTTGTCAACCGACCCCTCGGTGGTGTGATTGCCGATATCCTGTACAACAAATTTGGACGCAACCTTTGGCTGAAGAAGGGATGGATCACGGTTTGTGGCCTGTTGACCGGCGCTCTGCTCATCCTCATCGGCCGAGTGAACCCGGCCGAGTCCAACGGCGGAACTGTGGGCACCTTTGTCGGCCTCATCGTGCTCATGTCGGTCTTCCACGAGGCGGGCAACGGAGCCAACTTTGCGCTTGTGCCGCACGTCCACCCCTTTGCCAATGGTATCCTGTCGGGACTCACGGGCGGAGGCGGCAACCTCGGCGGCGTCATCTTTGCCATCATCTTTCGCTTCATGAACCAGGGCAAGGACTTTGCGATGGGCTTCTGGGTCATTGGCATCATTCACATTGCGCTCAACCTTGCCGTGTGCTGGATCCCTCCCCTGCCCAAGGGACAGGTTGGCGGTCACTGATGTGGAGTTGTGGGTATAGACACAGGACCTGTTGGGGCCTCTAGGGTGTGTGCAATGGAATGAGGTGCCACGAGATGCGCCAAGATAGAACAGTGGGCAGATGGGACTGGAGTATGGGTTATGGTTATGGCTAGGATATCCCGTCGCATCCGACGACGACGTTTGTGTTTTATTATCGAAAGCTATTCAACATGGAACTTTCCATCTCGCTGTCCACCCCCTTGTCATTTCAATATAATTACTCCCTCGATCCTAGGGACACACGTGCAGAAGCAACTACCGACCGACGATCTCACTCGACTTGCTTTCCTTGACAGCTCGTCATTGAATTGACGTGATAGTCGCCGATCGCGTCCTGTTGTCAAGTCGCCGAGACAATGACGTGCAGAATGAGACAAGATGAAGTGCCCCTGCCGATCAGGCACGCGCCCAAGGGAGGGCGTGTACAAAGGCGCGGCGAATTTTCCAGGTTTTTCGTTTCTCTTTTCATTTTAAGGGCAGAATGATGTTGTGAAACCCGACGACGAATCTGAGACCTCTTGCGCGTACGCATCTCGACATGTCACTGCAGGATTAGACAATTTGACCACCACCCTTGAACTTGTTCATGACATCAAGCCAAGGAACCAGTTTTCTTTAGTGTTTGCCCGTTGAACAAGGGATAAACGCTCCAAAGCAAAAAAAAAGTGGTGACAGGTTGAAGATCCTTGCCGATTCTTGGGTGTGAAACTCGTACAACGGAGAGTCCTCATCAAAATATCCAAACTATAACCAACAAACTGAGGTATATACTAGGCACAACTATATCCCCTTCTAATTTCACAAATCAAGGCAGACTATTAATCCCAGCATAAAGTTTGAAGCTTATTCAACCTACATCTCTCGTTACGAGGTCCTGCGACTCTCAGTTGGCGGGAAATCCTGGGAAACGGGAGCATTCCAGTGCGCGGCGGGCGCACGCTGCGACGCCACTCCCGGGCACGATGAAACGGACATCGCAAATGCTGGGGCATTCCAGTGAGGCGTGGGGTCTCATCTTGAGTCGTGGCGTTGCTGGATAGCGGCTTCGGAAAGGATTGTTTTGACAGATGACCGGTACGCTTGCGTGACAAGGGAATGCCGGGTAGAGGCTGGATGGGAGCGGCATGTCGGACGTGTGTTGACAGCCAAACATACGAGATTAGATGTCAGCTAAACATGCTTCAGATTGACCAAGTCTCACAGAAACGCAGAGACAATGTGTTTATGGGCTATTGTTTCATGGATATCTAGTTTCAACAACCGTCTACGACAAGCTACTACAGACAGACGTCTTGTTATTTGGCACGTGGTATTTAATAACAGACAGTTCATTAGGACATTACCACTAGATAATACACACAAAGCTGGGTTATATGTCTATTAGACGTAGCAGCAAGGAAACACGCGGCAGCTACATCAGAAAGGGCTTGATCAAGACAAATAACCCAAGTGGGTTTTAAAAAGTTTTTTCCTCAAATACATTAACAATCCAGAATACCTTCCAAGCTCGGGAATTACCAAATCAACGTATGTGCGCAAAAAAGGCCTGATACCCAGACTGCTCCATACCAGAAGTAACAAGAAACCCTCTAAATGCAGTCATGCCGTCATGACACCACGTAGATACCAAAATATGATACTGGGACGCGGTTTTGCTTCGCTTACAGAGCGAAAGCGGCCATGACGAGACCGGCGACAACGGCGACGGGAGCGCCGAAGCGGGCAGCACCGGAGACGGGAACGGGGGTGGGGGTGCCAGCAGCAGGGGGAGCAGGCTGGGAGGGGTAGACGGGAACAACGGGGTTGCTCTGAGCAGGGGGGTTGGAAGGGTGGGTGTAGATGGGAGGAGCAGCAGGGCCGGTGGCAGTGGCAGTACCGTTGCAGGGGACAGAGGCGGTCTTGACAACAGGGACGAAGGTGGTGGCAGGCTCGGTGGTGTTGCAAGGGACGGTCAGGGTCTTCTCAACGGCGACGACAGTGGTGTGGGCACCGGGAGCGCTGTAGACCTGAGAGACGGAGACAGTCTTGGAACCGTAGTGGGCGGTGAGGGTAGCGGTGCCATCATCGCCGTAGGTAGGGGCCTCGTAGGTGGGCTCGGCAGCCTTGGTGGAAGCGGGCTTGTCGGAGCCAGCAATCTTGAAGGGGTTGGAGTACTGGAAGACCTCGGGGTTGCTCTCCAGCTTGATGACGAGACCGTAGACGTTCTTGTCACCGAGGGAAGCATCAACAGCCCAGCTGTAAGCCTCAGCGTCGTTGGAGACACCAGCTGGTTGATTGTCAGTTGCTTGATTTCTGATTGGTGCGCGCGTCGCTACTCACTGGCAATGTCCTTGATGGGGACCTGGGTGTTCTGGGAGTCACCACCGATCAGGGAGATGGTGACGAGCTGGCCGGCGTACTTGGCGGGAGCATCCCAGGTGATCTGGAAGCTCTGGCCGGCGGCAACGGACTGCCAAGCCTCGGGCTTGAAGATGGGGTCGAAGTCGGCGGTCTGGGCGAAAGCCTTGGCAGCGAAAGCCAGGAAGGCGGCGGCGGAGATGGTGAACTGCATTTTGGCGAGTTTGTTGATTTAGAAATTACAGAATAGCTGTATAAAACAGGGAAAGACTAGAGTTGGAAGGGAGTTGGAGGGAGCACAGGGCAACCGAGAGAGTTGTAAAAAAGAATGTGGTAGGCTAAAAGCCGAAAAGAGTGACTGGTTGGTATGTGCTGGATGTTGAGGGAGAGAAAGAAGAGAAGGAAAATCGAGAATGAAGCCGGGGGTTTTTAGAGATAAATGCCGGAGGAGGCTCGAGGGGGGTGAGAGTGGTGAGGGCGTGGGGCCTGAGGCACGAGGCACGAGGCGTGTGGTACGTACCCCCGAGACAATTTCCAGGTTGGGCGAACCCTCGACGGACCATTGACGCCAAGGACGACGCTAAAGCAGGTACCAGGACGCCGCAGATGCTACCCTGTCTTGCCCCTGGTCTTGTTCCCTGTGCCTGTGTGTGTGTGTGTGTGTGCCTGCGTCGGCGCTTGCAGCCCTTCCTGCGACCTTCTCACCAGGGCTTGGTACGTACCCGACCGCTTCCCTTCATCTTCCACCTCCACACACAGCCTGCGGGACGGTTGGTCGGTGAAGGAGCGTGTTCAACGGCTAACGAAGCTAGCCCAGGGGGGAGCAAAAGTCGGCGCAGGGCATTGAATCTCGCATCGAGGGCAGGCAACCGCTAATTGGCAGCAGTGTTAGTGCATGTCCTCATCCCCCTGAGCGCTGCTCCCCATGCCCTTGCGCCAGTTAGAGTCACCACTCGGCAAGTCGCTCTCGCTCTCGATTCTCGCGCCAACGAACCCGTCCATCCAATCTGCCGGGCAATTCGGGCCAGACCGATCACAGTTAGGCCCCCCCATGGCTCGCCAGGGGCTGCACAAGCAGAGTTTTGGAGGAGCAGGAACCTGGGAAGCTCAGTCTCGCAGCGAGCCCAGACTCAGATCGGGCCACGAGCCCGAATGCTCTCTGGTTCTATTATGGGACCCCCCTGCAAGACCTTCTTCGAACACCGTCTAGCAGCAGATGGTAATTTAACTTGGGTGGGTGAGGGTCTGGCGATTGGCCGCACGCGAGGGGCGCAGAGTCGGCGACCCCCGCTTGGCATCCCATCCCATCCAGTCTCCGTCAAACTGATTGCTCAGAATCCATTGCCCCATGGATGGCGCGCCTGTCGAGACCTTCTTCTCTAAGGATTCAGGCTCTTTAGGGGAAGAGGGAAGGCCGTTTACCCGTTGGAGACGCTATCGAGATGTTGCCGTCTAGACCTTGGGTCTGGGCCTCGGCTTCACAGCGCAGTGTTTAATGTTACATGGTTGAATATGCTTATGCGATATGCCGCTCGTCAAATGCAAGCTCAGGGCATAGAAACAAAAGTCGCAGATTGATTGAACCGAAGGGAAGGGAGTAGAGTCATTCGTTCATTGACGGACGCTTCCATGGAAGATCCCGACAGGTCATGAAACGCTCGAGCCAAAAGTCCAGGGCGATGCAACTCACTAGGCCAATCGCCTGCCAGCAGCTTACATGCAAACAGGGCTCGACCTCTTCCCTGCTCACTTGCCGTATGTGGGAGTCGCCGAGAGAATCAGCGGGCAACAAGGCAAGCTTCCAAAGTCTGTTGCTTCGTACAACGTTGTATAGATTCGTGTTGTACTACGTCAACTCGATTGACAGCACAACGCACCAGGTGTCCGCCCTCCTTGGGCAAACAAACAGACCCCGTCACACACACAGCGGCTGCAGGCAAACCTGACAGCCAGTTCGAGGCCTTCACCTTTCTCCAGAAAAGCCTCTAATAGGGCCTCGCCCAGCCGCTGTGGCTCGTAGGGCTGCTTACTGCCCTTCTTAGCACCGACCCCAGCCGGCTGGGCAGCCGGCCGCCCAGAGTCGCCGCTTCGCTTGGACTTGGATGAATAGGCGAGGCGGCGACGGCTACAAGGCCGGTCTTCTGGCAGCGGGGGCAATCTTGGAATAGCACGTAGTAAAGGGGCAATGCCCGAGAGGAGCAAAACGCAAATCGGAAAGTTTGGAGTGCGATCATGGGGTACTATGGCACCATCTAGACACTGCGACTCTACAGAGTTGTATGGGGTTGGCTGCTCAGCTTGACTTGACAAGAGAGCGTATTCAAGGTCAGAGGGCACACGACCAACATTCTTGTTGGCTTAGAATGTTTGAACTTCTGACCAACAGGCCCGTAAACACTCTATCTGAAATCGCTGACAAGCTGCACCGCCTTGCAGAACATAACCGACATTCGAGTTTCACACTGTCAAGACGCGGCCAACAGGCAATTCGCATGGAACCAAATAACAAGCATATTGAAGCCAGTAATCCCCTCATGGCCAGTGCTCCTTCGCCCCCCTCAAGCAGGGCATGGATCAGATGGAGCACCTCATCTGCGGCGTCTCTCCCATCCCCTGACGAGGACCCTAGATCCCTCCGCTTACCTGTGGCAAGCCGACAAAGACGCCTTCAGCCTTTTCCCTTTCTTTACCGCCCTTCCTCCACCAATGACACCGGCAGCATCGTCGGCATCTAATCTGCGAAATCTGCTGCTGCAATTAGGACATCTCTGACGCGACCTGCCTTGCCCTGCCTGGTTGAATGCGGCACAATGACGCGCCCCCCATGTGTTCGTAGATCAGGGCAAAAGCCACCCGAGGCCAGTGGGCGGCCATTATTCGCCAGCACTGTCTCGGTCGCTTTACAAGGAAGGGCGAATAGGAGGGACGAGGCCCTGTATTCTGTCATCTCGGGGCATGAAAGTGCAATTCCTTAAACCTGTCCTATAATGCTTCTCCGCAGGCAGGCTGGGAGAGGTTAATTCAGGAAATTCGCCAATTAAACGTTGACGCCCGAGCCGGTCGCCGTCCAACGGTCCTCTCTGCCACAAACGGCTCGTCCCCTAAACAGCCACAGCTGAGCCGTAGCGCTGGGTAGGTGATAAACTACAACAGCCCGGCGGTGTCTGGAACGCGCCTATTGTGACTTGCTAGTCGCGAGTAGGCTTCAGCTCCGGGTACGCCACTGTTATGCTTGATGGCGATAGTTTGGAATTGCCTAGTAGTCTGGAAGCCTCCTGAGTGGCCCATCTTCAAAACATCCCGACCGAATGGTGAGGGATTTTGGCCAAGAGCTGTCAGACGGCGATGAAGTCGATTTTTGCGCCATCTAGCCAAGGCCCCGTTCTCGGTATGTGGTAGAGACCGGTATGGACGAGACGAACGGTCGGAACGTCACTCGGAGACAGAGCACGACTCAAGCTCAGTTCCGAAGAGTGTCTCACCGAGAACCTCGTCCACGGGCCGACCACGTAAAAACGATGAGTGAGAGCAGACAAGGGATGTCTTGACTGACAAGAGATGCGTTGAGTCAAAACAGGGAGAATGGGTTTGGTTCTAAGAAAAGAACACACAAGCACAAGGAGCAGAAACAAAAGCAAAACATGGCACGGTCTCGACGACTTGGCTACTGGTTTCAACTGGCAGAGAAGAAGGGCTACCATTGCCCGTCTGCAGAGACAGCCCACAAGTGAGAAACAGAGCACAACAAGGGAACGCCACTGCCTGTCCTCTTTCTTTCCTTAGAGCCACATGGCGCGCGGCACGCGATCAATAGCCTGGATTGTATTGACTGTGCAACCCAGGCACCCAGACCAAGAAATAAATGGCATACTGCAGGTAGGCAATAAGACCTTTGCCAGGCTACATAGACGTAAATTAGACTAGAATATATAAATAAAAAATATTAATTATATTAATTATATTAATTATATTCTCAAGTCTATATAAATCCTTAGGTTTATAATCATAAGCCATTTATGCTGTGATTCAGCGGATTAAATGGCAGAGTAGGTACTTGCGAAGTATACCATTTTTCTTGGACCACTAGCCGGGGCATTCAGTATCCCCCTATTGACCATTGGCTTTTCAGGATTGAAATTTTTCACGGGGTAAACTTCCCGGACGCGCCGTTGCTGCAAAAATAGATAGTTTAATTGCCTAACCGTCCCCCATCACAGACAAGGCCTGATCTGAGGCCCGGCAGCTGTGAAAGGGGGCGCGGCTGACCGGGAGAAAGAACCAGTAGACGGCGCACGGAATGCCGCAAACCCAGCGCCATGGCTGAACTACCGACCGCCCGCATGGTGCGAGCTGCCCATCTGAGAGACAGGGCGGCAATTTGTGGTAATTAAGGAAGCTTCTTTTCACGATGGAAGCACAGTCCTACCAGACTAAGAGGAGCTGAAAGTAATCAATCTTTTGTCAAACTCCATTATAGGAGTCGTAAAGGACTGTTGGTCGTTTGATGACTCGTTCTAGCTGCAGCCAATGGTTTCGCTGGTCAACTCCCGTGTCACAGCGGAGATGAGTAGCCCGGCGCCAAAAGAACAGAATCTCTGCATGAAAACCGCGAGGCCAATGAATTTGGCCGTTCCGCTTCCCTAACCTCTGGTAGTTTCCGGATCTTCAGGAGTGGCTTGCGCAGGCGCTGACCAATCATGTCACTCTGTTGGAGATCACAGCTTCAGCTTTTCAGCCTCGTGCCCCACATTGGTTCTTTGACTTTGGCTGTCAGCCTCGTCCAGACGACCTCCCACCCTCTAGGGCCTGGAACTACCTAATTTCAACGAGGCTGAGCTGTCATTCGCGATGGCTTCCGACGACGAGCGTGTGGGCGATTCGCCCCGTGGCAAGCGTCGGAAGACACATGGCGACTCCTCCCCTCCTTACGCGCCTCGACGCGACGGCGAGGAGGACGATGCGAGCCGCTCGCCTTCTGCCCACCAAGGGATACGAAAGCTCTCGATCCGTGAGCATCGCCGAAATAGCAGGACTATGAGTCCAAGTCCCGGCGATGAAGGCACCGATCGGAAATACTACGATGAGCAGAGCCGTCGCACCTCGCGCTCAAGATCACGGTCAAGATCGCGGTCTAGGTCGACTACTCGCTCCGACTCTCGCATGCGCTCTCGCCTTTCCTCGCCCTCAGTCTCCCGATCACGATCACCCCGCTCCTCACGCTCACGCTCACGATCCCAATCATCATCCACACGCTCCCGAACAGACTCGCTCTCACCTCGAGCTCCGCAACCGACTCCTCCTCCCGAACCCTTCAAACCTAACTACCGCGCCCGCCTCGTCCTCCACGGCCACACAAAGCCCATCTCGCAGGTGCGGATATCTCCCAACGGGCGCTTCATCGCTTCTGCATCTGCAGATGCCACCGTCAAGATCTGGGATGCCGCGACGGGTGCGCATATGGATACACTGTTTGGTCACATGGCCGGCGTGAGCTGTCTCGCATGGACACCTGATAGCAACACCATTGCGAGCGGCTCAGATGACAAGGCCATTCGCCTTTGGGACCGCGTTACAGGTCGACCGAAGACTACTGCCCGAAAGACGGAAGCCGGCCAGGAGATGGCGCCTCTGAAGGGACATCATAATTATATCCACTGTTTAGCTTTCTCGCCAAAGGGCAACATTCTTGCCAGCGGGTCCTACGACGAGGCTGTTTTTCTATGGGACGTGAGAGCGGGTAGACTCATGCGTAGTTTACCTGCGCATAGTGATCCTGTTAGTGGGATTGACTTTTGTTGCGACGGAACGCTGGTCGTGAGTTGCTCAACAGACGGTTTGATGTAAGGACACCCTCTCGTGTGATGAGTTTCACTTGCTAATATGTGTGTATAGTCGTGTCTGGGATACATCAACAGGGCAATGTCTCCGTACACTTGTCCACGAAGACAACCCAGCCGTAACCAACGTCTGCTTCTCCCCCAATGGCCGCTTCGTCCTGGCCTTTAACCTCGACAACTGCATCCGCCTATGGGACTATGTGGCCGGTAGCGTCAAGAAGACGTACCAAGGCCATCTTAATGAAAAGTTTGCCGTCGGTGGCTGTTTCGGTGTCTTGGACGGCGCCCCCTTTATCGCCTCTGCCAGTGAGGACGGGAGCATCGTGCTCTGGGACGTGGTATCCAAGAATGTTTTGCAGAGGGTCGAGGGCCACGCGGGCGTGTGCTTTTGGGTGGATGTTCATGAAGAGACAATGGTCAGCGGTGGCCAGGATAACACAGTCAGGGTGTATCGACACATCAGAGATGCCCCTGTGACCAATGGGACAACAGTCAAAGAGGACCCAAGCTCAACGGATGAGCTGCCAATGAAGCAAGAAGATGTCGACATGGCCGAGGCATAGAGTGTCATATCTCGTATGGATAGCGAAGGCGTTAAATGAATCTATGATGTGATGGACCAAGATGTCCAAACATTCTCTGTGCCTGTCCTAGATTGATCTTTACATCCTATACATTCTTCCTTCGCACTGCTAGCTCCTCATCAATGCGAGGTCCTGACGCCCATCTCTGCTGCCATGAGACACTTGTCTCGACCGTTTTCAGGCACAGTCCAAAAAAATCCAGCACGCCGTTTCTCATTTCCCGAAAGCAAGATGACCATGACTCCACTCCCCCAAATACCAGAATCCTCAATCTACCCTACCACACACCAGTTCATTTCATTTGCCTCAATAGACCAAGGTTGGGGAGACTCAGTCAAACTCAACCTCGACGCTTTGCGCGCCAACCCGCACCCCATCATGATAGACCACGAAGTCGACAGTCCCATCTTCGCATGCCATCTCGACGGTATAGTTCAGCTCGTGGTAGACCTCTCCGATGGGATTGGTATACTTTGGGAGCGACTCCACACGGATGTGTCTGTTCCATTTGATCTGGCACATTCGTTCAACGGTGTGGTCGTTTCTCGAAGGAGCTGGATAGGACGCGGAACAGTGTATGTCCTCCCTAACATAGCCCACGGATTCTGATAAGAGGCGGTAAAAAGGGTACCGGACTGGACGCCTGCTGGTAATGTCATCACCCTGCGAAACATGTCAGTGAGAAGTCCGGCCCTGCCTTGTTTTATCGGTTACCTCTTTCAAGAACCACGTCATTTGGTTCTTGGCCAAGTACTTGCGCTCTTTATCGCACCAGTACTTGTCGGTCTGTAGGTGCTTGAGGTCATCGAAGGATGAGTTGTGGCAGATGCCGTAACTCATGCGGGCAATCCTTGCCTCAACCTTTACACTAATGTCCGCGGAAAAGTTCTGCTTGGAAAGCTCGTGAACGACAGCGCCACGGCAGATGGCGGTCCATCTAGGGTTGTTAGTCAAGTCAGTCCTTGGTTTGGATACTACCACTCACGGTTTGCTTCCCTGAGCCTGCAGGACTGACGATTCAAACTCGGTCTGCAGCCGGTCGAAAAGATATCGGCAACGACCGAAACCGCCAACGAGAACGATGTGCTATAAGGGTCAGCGCAAGCTTCTTGAGGAATGTGTGAAGAACTAACTTTTGGCGGCTGAGAGTACTTTCTTTCAATGGCATCGCACTGGCGGCGCACCAACGACACAATCTTGTCGACAATCGGGGAAAAGACGGACAGGATCTCGTCCCTAGGAAGCCCTGTTAGCCTTGTTTCTGTGCGGAGAGAGCATGAACATACGAGGTGAGCTCAAATGTACGGCGGCGTTTGAGCTTCCGAGGGGTGTCATTGCAGGCGTCGGGCAGATCGACTAGCCAAGTTCTCTGCTGGTTTGCAAACTGCGGCTTGATGCCGTGCTCCCACCCGTCATTGAGGAATCTCTTTTCCGCTGCTTTGCTGACCTGATCCCAAGCTCCTTTGGGGACCTTGGACTTGATGAGATTGAGGAAGTTTTCGTCGAGAAAAACTCCTCCGCACAGGGCTCCTGTTCGTAGTTAGCAAGCCAACTCTACCGTGAGGCTTTGGTTACTTGCCATCTCCTTTGACACACTCCTTGACGACGAATGGCTCTGTCGACTGGATTCTGTAGCTAATGAGGTCCTTGTTCATATTAGTCAGGGCTACCTAAAGCCATGCTTGGTATTCATGGGTGCAAACTTACGACTGTTCCGCCCCCAGCATCGCAGACAACGATGGTATCATCTGGCTACCCATGGATGTCAGTCCGGTTCACCTCAAGTGAGTTGCAGATGGAATACCTTGATGGTTGATCTCTTTGAAAGGTCCTGAATAGTCGCCAAAGCCGCTGCCTCGGGCTCTGAAACGAAACGAACCGTGGTGGCGCCGCATGGTCGGGGAGTAAGGATGCCAGATAAGCCTGCGGCTTGCTTCATGAGTCTCTGAGCGTAGGGGGGCCAGATGGCTGGCAAGGTGATGACGACATGGAACTTGGACTTGTTCAGCAGCTCAGCACCGATGCTGCGCTTGATGGACTCGATGCCATGGTTCCACAGCTTCTTGAGGAAGCAAGCAATGATCTCGACGGGCTGCTTGCCTGTCGCCTCCTGCAGGCGACGAGCGGTAGCGAGCTGCTCAGATGCAGCGATATCGGCTGGAATATCGCCTCTCTTGAGCAGGAGGAGCTTGAACCACTTCAAGGCGTCGTTGTCGGCAGGGATGGAGTATCCCCAGGTGACATCATTATTGCTGTTGTACCACAGTTGAGTGGGTGCCTTCTCTTTGTCTGAGCAGTGGTTTAGCTCGGCCTCCCAGCTTGTCACGATCGCAATGTCATTTGGTTCTCGTGAGTATGCCCAGGCGACACCCGAGTATCTAAGTAAGTAAGTGTCAGCACACACCTGATAATGTGTTGTGAGTAAACCTACGTCGTCCCAAAATCGATGCCAATGACGATGGCATCCTCGGTTGGTTGACTCGCTGCCATCTTTGGTCGTAGCCAAGATCAGTCGGCGCGGTTGGTAGGTCGGTAGGTAGGTAGGTTGGTTGCTAAGTTGGTAAGTAGTTGTCCAACTTTTCAATGTTGGAGGAGAAGAGATGGAGATTGGAAAAGAATAAACGGGAGCAGGGGTTTTTATCTGATACATGGAGAGAGTGAATACAGAGTTGGGAGTGGTGAGTGCCCTTAAGGACATGCAGGCACCCGTCAGTCAGTGAATCACTACCACCTGCCTGATCGACGGATCAAGTTACCTTGGTATGCAAGTAACCTTGGGATTTCTTTCATATTCTTTACCTTCTCCACTGACTTTCTCTCTTTCTCTAACCTCTCTCTTGCACTCACACTCTACGCACTTAACACCATCTCAGCCCTGTGTCGTCACACGACCCCTATCCGAACGCCAATGAGGTCTCTTGAGATCAAGCCTTCACCAATAAAGCGTATTGCATCCTCTTAGACTCAGCAGCTTTAGAAGATATTTCACTCGGGACGCGCGCTCATCGGACCTGGGCGAGTTCATGCATCGCCTTTGACGCTGTTGGCCATGAGCTCCGAACCGCCCTGCCAGGACACGGGTGATTCCTATCCACCTGAGCCTACATCTGAATCCTTTGATGTCATAAATGAACAACTTGAAACCATCAGGGACACCGAATCCGACAGTACTGCAATCTCTCCATCTCATCACGCTCAGCTGGACCTGGAAACCGGCACCGACAACCACGAGCACCGACCTCAAGATCAAGAGCGGTCTGACACCTGGACCGTTGAAGAATTCTTGGAAATTCAGCAAGGGAGACACCAAGAGCTCCTACAGGAGGTCCGTGTCGCAAACGCAGAGAACAGAATTGCTTTGGACGAGGTGATGGGGCAAAACATATCTACGAATTTCGGCCTGTGCTTCCAGCGCATCGAGGAGTTCTTCACAAACTGGGCGCAACAATTCACTCAGCATCAGCTCGTGAGCAAAGTTGCCGAGCTTGAGGAGCGGCTGAATCTGGCAAACCAAACAAACAAGAAACTCGGCGAGGATTTCAAAGAGATGCGCACTAAACACAAAAACGCCTGTACCAAACTCAGCAAGGCTCTCCGCGAGAGAGACGAGCAAAGGCGCCTCGCGGATGGAGGAGCCCTTGCCAATTCCGCCAAGGCAACAGACGACGCTGTTATGGACAAGTGGAGGATTCTCAGCTACAACATTCACACATTGGCCCATTATTTGGCAAAGAGTCCTCCACCGCAGGGCCTGGGTGAGGTCGTTCTCTCTCGGCTGAGCTGGATCTCGCAGTCATACCGAGAAGAGATTGAAGACCAAGACTACCGAGAGTTTCTTCTTGAAGGCTACCTGTGGGGCATGGTCAATGACACAGTGTTCGACGCTGGTACTCGTCTCTGGGGTGGCCCTGGAATGGCCGACCTCAAGACTATCGAAAGCAACCTCGTCAGTAAGTGACATCTATTTTGTACTTTCTCAAAGTATGAGCTAATTCTTGCAGATCGTCTCGGAGGGGAAGCTCAAGGCCGCTCTGAGATTTGCCAGCAAGCTGCGAGATGGCTTGCTCAAGGATCGGGCATTCTCAATCAGCTTTGGGGCTTTGAGTCAGAAGGCGCGAAGGCCCTTGCCACCCTCGAAGCCAGACGCCTGATGCCATTCCTCTCGGCCCCAAACGCCAGTTCTGACAGTGGGGGGAGAGTCAGGGACGAAATGAGCGTCATCATCGCGTGTGCCGTCGAGCTGGACCAGATGTTGATGTGTTCCAAGGCACTCTTCAAGATCCATTGGAAAGACCATGTTCAGGACCATTCAAAGCCTCAGCTATACAACCCAAACGTCATGGATGCAATCGCCTCCGAAACCGAGCTATCTGAGCAGAGCACCGTCAAGATGGTTATTTCGCCCTTTCTCTACAAGGCTGGAAACGCCGACGGCCAAAACTATGAATCCTCGATGCTGCTCATCAAGGCTGCTGTGGTCTGCGATTAGGCCTGCTGGCAATGAATGAAGGAGAGGAAGTTGAGGAAAACTTGATGAACTAGGGGATGCATTCTGAGATTGGGAGACATTGATGATTTTGGAGCCCAGATAAATGGGGTTATGATGTGTGCTGGCTCGGGGCCAAAGATTGATCATCTTTTCTGATGGGATCAGATAATGAGAACAGATAGACACCATCAATTCAGTTCTTGAAGGTAAATGTGATGCTCTCCATATTCCACCTTCCTTGACACTCATATAATGAATATCATCGGGAATGGTGGCAACCTAGATGCCTGTACTGGTCAGCAGCAGCGTTTAAGAGCATCCCACGATTACCAAACAATACTTGTAGTTGTCCCCTCTCGTTCAAGCAAGGAGAAACAGTCACAAGAAACAGAAACTAAGATTTCAACAGATGGATTGCTTTTCATTTGAACAATAACTAAAAAGAAATTACATATTAAACCGTCCCATCAGGGGACACGGAATCCGCATTGGACATATGTATGCTCTTCTCCAGTCGCAATAGCAACCACTTTAGTACAAAAGCCACACACTTATATCACTCTCCCCCTTATCCCTTCTCAAATTAGGTATTAAAGTGCAAACCCTCCTCCCTTTAAACTCCGACCCCTATGAATCTGTGACAAAGGAAAAAAAAGAAAACGTGTCTTGTCATCAAAGAGGTAGGGGTTTTAGTACTTCAAACCGAGACTGAGCTTGATAGATGCCCCTATTCCGCTCGACTGGTTATCGGTCGAGGTGCTGTCTTGGTACTGGGAGGGAGAGCCGCAGCTTAGGTCGAACCAGACGTCTTCGACTGTTGAGTCGATCTCGCGGATGTCCTTGTAGACAGGTTGACCGTAGACGGCACAGCGGGTTGCGCCGCTGTCGTTTTCGTAGAAGCGATAAGCCTCGCAGCCGCGGGTGGATGGTAGATCAAGCTGAAGGATTTGTTAGAACTTTGTACGGAATCGAGAGAGGTAGGAACTTACCTTGCAGAACTGGTAGCAGCCTTCGAGGGTGACGGGCATTCCGTAGCTGTCCTCGCTAAACTCGGCGAGGAAGTTCATTCCCGTGGCCTTACCGTTGACACCACAGTAGGCAGTGTTGCTCTTGGGTGCACCGTTCTCGGCATCATCCTCGCAGATGGTTTCTGTGGGAACACTTGGTGTGGTGGCGGTGGTGTTGAGGTAGGATGACGAGATGGGGACCATGGAGGTGTCGATGATGCATGGCTCAGTGGTCGAGGACTCGATCGAAGTCGTGGTTGTCAGGAAAGGCGTCACGGGGAGAGTTGTTGGCTCAATCGAGGTAGACTCCGGGTCAAAAGCAGTCGAGACAGAGGCAGAGCTACCCTGCGAGGTCGAAGCTTCAGGAGTAAAGGTCGGCTCGACAGAAGACGAAGAATCGCTGGAAGAAACGGGGAGCACGGGAGGAATCGTCGAGTTGCTGGGGGTCGAAGGCAGAGGATAAGCGTCAGAAGACTCGCTGGGGAAGACGGGCTTGGTATAAACCGGGGGCGAGTAAACAGGCGTATCAACAGGCTTGGTGGTGGCCGGAGGAGTCACTGAAGAGTTTCCGGAGGCAACAGGGTCAGAGTAAACAGGTCGTGTGTAGGCTGGCGGCGTGTAAACGGGGCCCTCGTTGGTAGACGAGCTGCTGGAGACCACAGACCCGGGGTAAGCTGGCTGGGTGTTGACCGGGGGAGTGTAGATGGGATCCTCGCTGGTGGAAGAGTTTCCAGGAATGATGGGCTCCGAGTAAGCTGGCTTAGTGTAGGTGGGAGGTGTATACACCGACGGGTCAACAGGAGTGGTGTACACAGGAGGGACTGTGGACGAGTTGTTGGGGACCACGGGGTTCGAGTAGGCTGGTGGGGTGTAAACAGGGGCCTCGCCGGTAGAAGAGTTCACAGGCTGAGGGTACACCGGCTTGGTATAAACAGGAGGCGTGTAAACAGACGGGTCAGCAGACTTGGTAGAGGCTGTCGAAGAGTTGCCAGGGACCACGGGCTTAGTGTAGGCAGGAGGCGTGTACACGGAGGGATCGGCAGAGTTGGTGTAGACGGGAGAAGTAGCCGTCGAGTTGCCAGGGAGCACAGGCTTGGTGTAAGCAGGCTTGGTGTAGACCGGTGGGGTGTAGACGGTGGGCACGATGCTCGAGTTGTTGGGCTCTGGATAGACAGGCTTGGTGTAAACAGGCTTGACGTAAGCAGGAGGGGTGCTCGAGTTTCCAGATGGGCCAGGGTAAACAGGCTTGGTGTAGACTGGCGGGGTATAGACGGTGGGCACGACGCTTGAGTTGCCAGACGGGTCGGGATAAACAGGCTTAGTATAAACCGGGGCCACGATGGTAGAGTTGCCAGAGCCAGAAGGACGAGGGTAGACGGGCTTGGTATACACAGGCTTGGTGTAGGCCGGAGTCTCGATCGAAGAGTTGCTGTGTCCAGGCTCAGGGTACACGGGCTTGACGTAGGCTGGCCGGGTGTAGACGGGAGCATCAGAGTTGTAGCCGCTGGGAGTGTTGTAGATGGCAGACTGGTAGCCACTCGCGGAGACGGGCGTGGTGTACATGGGAGCAGCGATGGTCGAGTTCATGTAAGGGAAATCATCCGTGCAGGGCTCAGTCTCATCAGGATCCTCGACATCCTTTGTCTTGGGAGGGAGATAGGTCGCGTTGGTAGGATAGTAAGGAGAGCCAGTGTTGTACTCGCCGCCGCGGTTGGTGTTCTCAGCAATGGGGTACGCAGCATTGGTCTCCTTGTCGTATGATAGCGTAGGAACATACTTGCCACCAGGCAGGTAAACGGTGCCGTTACGAGTGACAGTCTGGGTGCAGTCACGGCAGATGGTGTAAGACATGTTTGAAGAGGCAGTGACGGTGACAGTCAAGTCGAGAGTCGTAGTTGAGACGTAGACGCCACCGGTAGGACACTCAATATCTGACTTGAGAGTCTTAGAGTTAACGGCCGAAGTGGATGTGTTCTTGGGAGCAGCATATTGAGAGTCGACCTTGGTGTATGTGTCGGGAGAGGCGTACTTGGCGCCAGGAGTGTAGACGTTGGGCTGGTTATAAGCATTTGCGTAGTTGTAATCAGCTCGAGCAGCCATTCTTGCTGTAGAACCCTGTGATCCTTGATCATCTCGTCGAAGCTGTATCTATGTCAGAACATGACAATCTTTAAATCTGCAAAGCCCATACCTTATTGAACCAAGTGCCCCGTGGAGCGGCCTCGACAGCCGTGGCCAAAAGGCCAGCGGCGCCGATGAATGTAGGCAGAAGCATGCTGCAGACTGTGTATCAAGATGGAAATAGGAAAAAGAGAGCAGCCGGTGAGAGGATGAGGCTGTTGTGAGAGTGTGAGAGAAGATGCTGAGTCTGGTGGTGAGAGTTGCATCTCTGGGACGCATCCCACGGCCTTTAAGTACGACTTCATCTTTTCGAGGGCTGCTGCTCAAGGAGTCAATTGTCAATCAAAAGGGACGAATATTGAAGACTTTGAAAGGGTGGTATATTGAAGAGGGAGCGTCGGGAGCCCTTTGGAAGGGGCCCGTCGTGGGGCTGTTGATCGGTTCAAGGGAGTTGACACCAAAATCGCACACACAATCGACACAAAGGGAGACAAAAGCAATGTTTGCCCAGATCCCGACGAGGGGAGCAGAGACATTTTCGGATTTTTATTGAACACTAGGTTCTTATCGATTGAACGCGACCGACACTATAATTCGTCAATCGAGACACGGACGAAGCGACGGACACGAGAGTTGAAGCTTTGTGGGTGTGGGTTTGTTCTATTGTCGATAGATTCAATCACCCTTGGGCTTATCCCGCCCACCTCGCGCACAAGAAGCCGTGAGTGAAATGACAATCAAGATATGATAGGGACAGTGTGAGTGCGAGTGTGAGTGTGTGTAATTCGCCCTAGAATACAGATTCGCACAGCTCAACCAAGTTAATTGGCCTGACCTGTGGCTGTGTGATAGGTGATCCTCCTGTCGGGATGGATAATGCAGATGTGCTGGAATGGGTATCAAGAGGGTCACGCAATCGCCGTCGTGCCCTTTGTAAGAGTAAAAAAACGAGAAACCATATGCTGATGCCGAAAAAAAAAAGAAAAAAAACAAGCAACCGTCAAACAACCAATCCGCCGTCCGTGATGCAATCGTGTCTGCCAAGGTCCTGGTCCTGGTCCTGTAATGTCCTGTCCTGTAAAGCAACGTCTGTCTCATCCTTCATTGCTGGCCTCGGTTCATGTGCGAGATGCCGCGGCGATCCCAAGTCAACTTCAAGTCTCGTTCTCGACCAATCAATCTTCCCAAATCGTCTCCAGATCGAGATCCCCTCTCCGCTCAGCTCCGCATACACTCCAACGCTTCCGTTTATCTCTGGACCCAAATCCCATTGTGCGTCCCCGGGGCTGCCCATCTTTCCCCTTTGAGTCTGATGAGTCGTTACCCTCGGCGGCATCCGCGGCAGCCTTTAGCTGCGCAATTCGCTCGGCTTCCAACGCAGCTTCTTCGGCATCAGGTGTGTCAGGAATAGTCTCCAAGCTGGAAATGCTGGGGCTTCGTGACCTGGTTGAAGTTGGTGTTGAAGGAACTGATGAGTAAGTGGTTCCATAGCTCCCTGAGAGAGCATCGTAGCTCCGGTACGACGAAGTAGATGAGATCGATGAGGATGGAGTTGGGGGAAAGGCTGTCAGGGAGCCGGTGCTGGATGATGCAATGGTCCTCAGAGGAGATGATGGCCGACGCAGTCGAGCAGGAGTGCTTGATGAGAAGCCCAGAATGGGGGAGCTACTTCGCCTCTCCCCGTGCCTCCGCTCGGGCTCTAGTACAGATGTTCGAACGGGAGAAATTGGTGGAAACGCCTCATCGGCAGGCTTCCGCGGGATTCGGACGCGGCTCGGAGATCCTGAGGGACTGGTTTGGCGGCGCTGGGGCGAATAGAGAATATGACCGGAGCCATTCACTCCGGGCATGGATTGAGTACGAGACATTGGGGGCGCCAGGCTGGTGGTGGAGCGGGATCGAGAATGAGCACCAGAGAGGGGAGAGGTGGTGCGTGGGCGGTACGGAATGAAGGTGGTTGTGGACCACGAGGGTGAAGCTGGCGATGTCGGACTAGGGTCGGTGCTGCGTCTCAGGTTTGGCGGCTTTCGAGGCAGGTCAATGTTGAGGGTCGAGACGGAGTTTGGATTAGGAATCCGCAGAGCTGGAGCAGTTGGGGGAACCACAGGAGACGAGGAGACAAGAGCAGGCCGGAACTCCTCCATCCGCTCCGTCTCAGGAACAGGCTCCATGTCGAGATTGGTAATCGGTAGATGGAGGCACGGATGGAACTTGGGGCCAACCGCTGTCGTCAGGGCGTCAACGGTGGCATGTGTCGGCCGAAGCTTGATCGGTGTGTGGGCGACAGGCTATGGCCAGGCGCTTCGAGGATTTCGGTAGGGGAAGCGATGATCGGATGTGGTTATGGGAAGCTATGCCGACGGCAATAGTCGGTTGCTTGGAGCTATCTCTAGGCGGTGCAGCTCTCGCAGATCCGAGCCAAGAACAAGCCGCCTCAAAAGCACAAGCTCGCGGGATTGATAAAAGTCGCGGCAGAGGCGGGGTCGAACAAGGTTGGAAGGTTCAGAATCGGGCTGGAAATGGCGGTTCTCGATGTGTGGAGAGGTGGAGGAGAGCTGTAGAGGGCCGACGATGAAGGAACCCGTGAGGAACAAGGTCCAAGGACGAAGAGTCGAGGAAGTCGGCGAGTAAAGAGGTGGTGGTGGCGGAAGAAGGGATGGGGAGGAGGTGGTAGAAGGAGGAGAAAAGGAGCAAGATAAGCGGCGTTTAAGGTCGTGAGGCGTTAAAAGAAAGGTGATGGGAGATTTCAAAGAGGAGAGTGACGGGCAAGTGAGAGCTGAGCTGAGGGAGAGAGTCTAGAGTGTGAGTGACAAGCACGAGTGACACTGGGCGCGTGTGACGGGACGGTCAAGGGAGGTACCTCTGGAGTGGAGTGGAGGGGCCACCCACCGATGGAGCAGACCTGGGGGAACGTGCGACAAGCCCGCTAGGGGCCCTTTTAGCGGCGGCGGAGGTTGACGGCCAGTGGGTAACTCTTCTGTCAGGGCGGTGTCCTTCTGTGGATTTGTCCATAGCATCCATGGCAGCTAGAGGCGGCGGCAAAAACGCGACAGACCCGGCGGGCTCTAAACCAAAACAAAAACCGCCGGCGCCACTCTTACATTCCAGTGTGTCCTTCCATCGTTGGAACGGGAGAACAAGACGAGAACATGTCTGTCTGGTACCAACGGTGAATTCTCTCTGTTTCTGTTTGTTGGTGCTCAGATTAACATGCGGGGGGCCTCGATCATCGTTGGGGGCATTAACGCATTCCGTTTCCCCTCATCAACAACAAAAACAATATCTATCCACGGCAACGTGCTGCGTCGTCTTTGCGCCCTTGATCCAGTGCCCCATCTCTCTAGCCAGGCAACGAGTAAACATGGCGATGCGCAACAGTCTAGGGGAGATCTTCAGGGAGCTACATGTCCAATGGTGGCCCCGTCCCATCGTCAACGCCGCCCTTCCAGAACATGTCGGTCTATACAATTCCCAATCCCCGGGTCAACTCCCTGTGTCGGTGCCGACCGCTGTAGACCATTAGCCACTGTGGCCAGTGTCTCTCTTGCTCCGAGATTCATAATCCAGACTCGTGCTCATCCTCCCTTTTCACTCTCCCAATTCTCCGGGATCCCCTGGGCTCACCATTGCCGAATGCCCGGGTCTCTAGGGCCCCTTCACGGGGGAGACCGAAGAAGCTCGAGCCTAGCCTAGGCTTTTGCGTCCATTTTTTTGCGAGCGAGGCGCCAAGAAGGGAACAAAAAGGTGAAAAGGCCGCAAATGGCTCAGCCTGAACTTTTGACTGACTCTTATGCAGCAGCAAAAGGGGAGCATGAACCGAGCAGCATGCATCCCTGGATGCATTGCATAGATAGTACCTGAGTAAGCCATCCTTCATCATGCAAGACCAATTCCTTTCATCCACCCATCACATGTCTACACCTGCGCTTAGCTCGCCATTGAATGAATCGCAAAGCCAGTGGCCACCAAATCTGGCTCCCTCTCAACCCGTCCGAGTCAGTCATCACCTCTCAGTGGCCCGTCAGTTTAAACGCTTGACGCCCTCTCCTCTGACTGGTCCAGTCGGTCAACTCTTTCGCGCGCAGGGATGCGCCCAGGCTTCAAGACAAGCCTGTGAACGGAGAAACGGGGATGGGCCCAGCTCATTGGGCAGCGCCCATTCTCGACGGCACAGGGGGGCAAGGGTCAAGTCCCCGTCATGACGTCTCGCTCTGGTTACAGGTTTCCAGGTTGCCAGCATGAGCATCTCGTATTATTCTTTGTTGTTGTTATTGCCGCCTTGCATGAGCTGCACAAGATTGAACCAGCAACCAAAACCTCCAACGCGATTGGATCTCAACAAGCAAAGCAACCAAACTTACCCTTCACAGTTGAACCCCGGATTTTCTAAACCTCGGTCTCTTGCCAAGGACCCTGCACTACTGCACGACAGGAAAGCCAGTTCCATTTTTAGATGCCGCCAGCAAAGAGGCTCTGGCCGCATCCCGGGTCCCCCTCGAATTTACCCTCCAACATTATCAAGGACCAGAACAAGATCATTTGACACCTATAAGCTCTCATGGTGCCGAGTTTCCCTCTTATCTGCAAACCTAGACGTTTAACATAAAATCATCGGCCGATAAACCCTTCACCGTTCAAACACCGCCGAAGAGTGACACGAGATTTCATCCCTTTCTCTTACGAGCCATCTACGCGTGATGTCCTTGGCGGTGCCGCCTGCAGAACCATTTCCTCGCCATTAATTCCATCAACCAGCTTCCTTCTTGACTCTCGATTCCACTCACAATCGCCTTCTCCGGGGAATTTCAGGGGTCTCGCTTAATGCCGACTCACGTATCAATGCGAATCCCTCGACACGTCACTGTCTATGCTCTGATCTAGTCGAATTAAGCTCATCCAATAACTGACCTGCAATTCTCAAGGCAACCCTTGTTATGGTGACCTGGAATAGGCCATCCTAGATGGCACGGCTTCACATCTCACACACTAACAGGCCATGACTTGGCCTGTCCAAATAGATCTTGCACAGCTACATATACTCTAAAGTTTATGCGCCTTCCATCGCCCAAGACAGATTCTATCGGCCTCGCCATGAAGTAGCTTCCCGAACCCCAACTCTCCAAATTCGGTCCTCGTACTCGACCTGACTCGCATTCAATTCACACGCCCGGCAGTGTCCGTCACGCCCTTCTCTCCGGTGGTACCTGGAAGAGGTGTATCCCCCAAAACCTCGTCCAATTTGCCATGGTCTTTGGCTTCCTGTACGGCTTCCACCTGCGCGATCAGACGAGACTCTCCCTTCTTCGTCTTCCATGCTGGGGGTGCTCCCTTCTTGAAGAGCTCTTCTACTTCTTCGATTGTCTTGCCGCATGTCTCGGGGTATCTGTTTCACCAATTGGTAAACTGCTCGAATCACTGAATAGGCATAAAGCCACGATCTAGCACTCACGTAAAGTAGGCCTGGACAGCCGATCCGATGCACAAAACACCAAAGATGATGAAGATTTTGTACTGAATGTTCTTAAATCCCGGGGGAGTGAACCTGAGTAGTCATAAGCGGAAGTTTGTATGCAGCGCCTTTACTCGTTCACTTACATTCCAAGAGCAAAGTTGAAGAGCCAGTTGGCCTCGGCTGCCATGGCCATACCCGTCGCTCGAGTGCCTGTAGACCAAACCTCGGCTGCGTAAATCCATGCCACAGGAGCCAGCGTGAGTGCGTAGACAATGATCAAGAGATAGCTGAATGCGATAACGGTATAGGCCGGGGAGCCAGTGACTCTCATCACCACATTGGCATTGCCTTCAACACCTCCGGGAACGGGCACCGAGTAGGCACCGAGCATCGCAGCAACGATAAAGTGACACACCGCCATACCGATCGAACCCCAAACCAGAAGTGTGCGTCGTCCAGTCTTGTCGATGAATGGGAACATGATTGATGTGAACAGGATAAAGAGTGCATACTGGACACCCGAGGCGATGAGGTTGACGTTGCCCTGAAGATTGGCCATCTGGAAGACGTACGTCATGTAATCTAGGATGCCAGGTTAGCTTATGAATAATGGGTTTCATTTCAAGGTGTTGTTGATGGGAACTCATCGGGGCGAGCCGGCGTAGATAGTGCAGGTGGGGCCGAACTCCGCTCCACCACACGGATGCCGAAGTGGGGCTAAATCAGTCCGGGCCCGATCCCGATGAAGTATCCAGACCATGAAACATGAAAAACACCACAACTCCTTCAAATCTTGGTCGTTTTCACTGATTTAGAGATGTAAATCATAAACTCACAGACTATCACGTTGGCCCCACTCATCTGTTGCCAGGCTTGAACAGAAAGTCCAGCCATTGTTCTCTTCCACATCCCGTTCTTGAAGAACTTGCGCCAACCTCCGCCAGCTTCACGCTCGGCAGCCAAGGTCTCGGAGATTTCTCTCCATTCGGCGATTACTAGGGCATTATTTCTGTCTCCTCTGGCTTGGATGTCTGCCAGAGTCTGGATGGCCTCCTCCTCGCGGCCAACCTTGGCCAGCCAGCGGGGAGAACGAGGGAGGAAGGGAAGGCCGATCATAAGGACAACACAGGGAATGAACTGGGTCCCCCATGCGGTCCTGAAAGACGCAGTTCCAGGAATAAAACCGCAGCCGTAGCCAATGAAGTACCTAGGAGTATGAAGTCAGTTGCTGTCCTCACCAAGGGAGGGTAAACTTGCATGATCAGAATTCCCCACTCAATAGCCAACTGCTGGATTATGATGATACGTCCACGACGTTCCTATAATTTGTGAGTACTCGAAGTACAAGCTTGAACCTGATAGACGTACTCTCTTGGCAATCTCGGCCAAGTACACAGGAACCTGAGAAGAAGTGATACCAACGCAGACCCCGTTAAGGAAGCGACCAGCCACAAGCATGCCAAATCCGTTGACGGCGACCTGGAGTGCTGTACCCACGAGCCACCAGAGACAAGCAAACATAATGCTAGGGGCTCACTGTTAGCAATGGGCCAGGAGTTCACGCCTGGGGTAACGTTATACCTGTCACGGCGACCCCATTTGTCAGAGATGGGACCGGCAATCAGACTGCCAAACACAGATCCAGCAGCAAGAGCAGATCCAATGGCTCCCTGTCTAACACCGCTAGGGTTGTCAAAATACTCGATGTACTGGGGCCGAATGACGAGCGCAGCGATAGACGAGATATCGAAACCAAAGAGCATACCACCGACTGTGGCCACCAGGGCCACAAAATAAGTGTTGGCTGTAATGGGGACATCAGCGAAAGTCCAAAGACAAAGATGGCCGGTGTAGAACGTACTGATCTTTGTAAGTTTCCTCATTGTGAAGAAGTCACGATGCACAAGATTATCCACCTTGATGATGTTGATAGAAGACGTTGATTCGAAAGAAGAGCAGTGTCGGAAACGCTCAGAATATATCTCCAACACGTGTTCCTTGTTTTTGTACTGCAATACAGCATTTCATCAAGCTGCCCATGGTTCCTCAGGTCATCAGGTCATGTTGACCCGCTCATGATTGACCATCGAGACGCTCGGCACCGGTGATTCGTCTCGGTATTCTCTGGGCGCGCTGAGGGGCTGCATGTTTGGATATTAAGATCAATCAACCTTGGTGAAAAGCTCGCTGTGTCAGAGTCATGATCCTTCTGATGCAGACAAAGGGATCAGCTACCTGCAACGGCTTTTCATAGGCGCGCAAGAAGAGACCTCCTTGGCTTTTTCTTGTCGTAGAAGTCCTGATCTCATTGTCAGCATCTTTGATGATCAAGAGTTTGAGCCAAGCTTGACGCGTGTGACAGCTCCTGCTAGGCGACGTGGATATGAATTGGTGTTAGTCGTCACAACGCTGATCATTTTGAGGCTCTTGGCGTCAAGACGCAAGATGTTGGCTCTTGGAAGTATTCGGACCGATTTATGCACAAGCGATTGGTGCGGGTTTGATAACGGATGGGCAAAGGTGACAGGGGAGATGTGAAGCTCACATAACGACTTCATGTGCGAGGGGAGAATCGATAGCTGCAGAGCCAGTGCACCAGCTCAAGAAGGGAAATCGTGGACTGAGGGCGAGGCTCCTGAGTGGACGGCCAAGAGGGCAGGGTCACAACCTTTTTCTGGTGTGGGTAGGTTTCCAGTCCTGATGCCATAATTCTAATCCCTAAGCTGCGTGGTATCAATTGTCGCTCAATTGAATCATTCGGTCATCACACAGTTTGCATTGGAATTAGAGGACAAATCCATCTTGTGACAGTCGATTACCCTACGTCGTGGTTCCAACACAAGGCTCCCTTCACCTCCTCGTTATCACTCACTCTCCCTTGCATAGTGCACTAAGACAACGAAAGGATTCGTTAATCTAGCGAACAAATAGTCAAAAAGATGACATAAAATGGGGCTCAGGACATTTCTAGTCTTGTAAGTTACCTGGTCGTTACCAACACAACAGCTGAGCATAAACAACATTTGCATGTATTCTGGCCATAAATAAGAATGTCTGATTCCAACTTCCACATACAGGCGAGCGGTTCAAGCACCAAGGTGCACACTCCCTGCTTTGCCGCCAGCCCTGAATAGTATGGAAGCATCCCAGATGGTTCTTCTCACGGGAGCATGTTGGCCATCTGCTGGCTTCATCGCCCATTGGAGGCTTTCAAAATATCCCGTGCTGAGGGAGGGGTGGCATCCTTCTCCCCTCCAACGATGCAGCGGATGTAACCCAACCAACGTCCATCGCCATGCGATCTGCCCGCATGTACAGACGCACGCGCAAGCGCAAAACACCATCGCATGAAAATCCGGGTGCTTCGGTGAACTTTAAGCCAACATCCCTCTCGCTAATCATTTCATCTTTGATCATTTATGAGCTGCTGAGAGCTTCAGGCGGAGGAAGTTGATCAGGCCCAAAAGACATGGGCAAAAGCTGCGCGCGCATTGAATGAGTTCATGTTCAACATGTAAGGAAATGACGACACAACTGACCTGACCAAGCTTCACAACGACAAAGTCCTCATTCTTGTCAAACATGATGATTGGCGTTTCCAGCGTGCAAAACTCTCGAATACTACATCTCCCAGAAAACTCACCTTGTCAGCAAACCTGCCTCAGTTTCTACTGGCCCTCGCCTCACCCCCGACGATGGGACTCACAACTGCCTGCACATGCCGCAGGGGCTCGCCGGAGGCGCAATGTCGGTGGCGACGGCGACGGCCCGGAACCCGCGATGGCCGCCCGTCACGGCTGTGCCCAGGGCGACGCGCTCGGCACACGTCCCCACGGGGTATGACGCGTTCTCCACGTTTGCGCCGTCGATGAACTGGCCCTCGCCCGAGAGCACCGTGGCCCCGACCCGGAACCGGCTGTACGGGCAGTAAGCCGTCGCCTTGGCTGCCGTGGCGCGCTGGCGGAGCTCCGAGAACTCGTTCGGCGTGATGCCGTGTTGCTCACAGATCTCGGCGGTCCTAGCAGCGTCGCCTTTGGAAATAGTCTCTGGAGTCTCCATTGCAGTTGACTTTTCTACGCTGTTGTTGAAAGGGAGTGATCAAAGGGAGAGGAGAGGGGTAGTTATGTGTTACCCAGCTTAGATGAGATAGGCCGGGCCACGTACCTGTACAAGGAAGGTGCCGTGTCCCGCGGTGCGGGCCGCCCTTTATCAATGACATCCATCATCTCCGCATCGGGCGCCTCCGTGGCTGCGGGGCTGAAGCGCCGAGACGACGGACCCTCGGCCGCTGACCGCTGACCGCTTATCGCCTCTCGGCAGTTGCTGCATACTGGCATGGCCTTGCACATGATCATAACAAGATCAGCATCCTTCAGTCCTGTCAAATCCATATGCATTATCAGATGGTATCTCGTATCCTGTGGCCTCCTTGTTTATTGCTATCATGACCATCATGCACCCACGCTTTTCCTCCCCGGTAGCCAATCTCATTACAAATGCCTATGTACAAAAACTCCAAACTCGCCGCTCATGTAGATCTGCCCAGCTACCTATAAGAGACTGGTGCTCGAGCAAACGATAGAATATGTCCTCGTCCCATTTACCCTTCCTTTCCTTTGTTTCACCTCCTCTTCCTCAACATTGCTCAATCTCATCCCAACTCGTCCCCTGCCATGTCAGGAGGCGCTGTTGGACTTCCCCTAATAAAATCCATCAACACCACCCAGTCTGCTCGATGTTGAGCTGACTGTTGGTGTTGACTGGGCTGAGCCGCTCGTGTCGCTCGGTGTGGCTGGTTCCACCACCTGGCTTCGAATCGATGTTATCCATTCATGCTGCAAGAGTTCAACCGCCGATGACCGGTTTCGAGGATCCCGCGCAAAGCATCTCTTCAAGAAGTCGATTCCTTGCGGGCTGAGCTGATCAGGAGGCGGGAGCTGAGGCGGATTGCCTTGAGCAATGTTGTACATGATGGCCCATTCGTTGTCGAGCTGTGCCCACGGTCTTCTGCCAGTCGCCATCTCTAGGATAACGCAGCCAAGGGACCAGATATCGACTGCCCCAGGCTTACCAGGATTTTCGCCCTTGATCACCTCCGGTGACATGTACATGGGTGTACCAGTCATGGACCTGTTTGGCATCGATGCTTGTCGGTCCGCAAGAGTGCGGCCTTGACGAGCAATCACCTTGGCTGCGCCAAAATCCACATACTTGATAATACCATTGTGGTCGAGGAGGATATCTTTTCAACGGTTAGCTTTCTCCGCTCTGGTGACAAGTCAGGACACAACACTTACTTTCAGGTTTGATGTCTCGATGGGCAATGCCGCTCTCGTGCAGATAGGCAAGACCCTCGAGCAACTGAAGAGCGTAGACCATAATAACCTGCTCGTCTTCGATTCGGCCATGCTCCAGGAGGTTGGCCAGAGATCCTCCTGAGCAAAACTCCATAAAGATGTACACCCTATCTCGGTGGACTTCAATGCCGTAGTACGATACCACGTTCGGGTGGTCCAGGACTTCGAGCACGCCCATTTCTTCCCTAATCGCCTCGGCGATTGTCGGAATAAGCTTGGGATCCTGCAGTCGAATCTCCTTGACTGCCATCAAGTGGCCTGTGTCGAGGTTCATCGCGGCGTAGACGTTGCCAAATGTTCCACCTCCCACAAACTGACCTTGCTGCCAGCGCATAGTGACGTTGGTTGCAGACGAAGAGAGATATGCCAGCGATCGGTCGACTTCGTTGTTACCTTCCAGTACTCGACCCACTCCCTGCCTCTCGGCAACCTTCTCCCGTCGGTACTCGTCCACTCTCTCCAGCTCATCCATGCGCTGCTCCGTGATGCAGCGGGAAGCCTCCTCGTCGTTCAACATCCTATTCTTGTCAAGCTTCCTAAACTGCCCCACCAGCGCCTCAATTCGTTCCTTTTCAGCTTGAGCCGCAAGGTTCGATCTGGCGCCCATGATATCGAAGTGCGAGATAAGCAACGACATGCACCCTGCAACCTTGGAACGAAGCTTGGCGTACTCATCCTCTCCAAGTGCCAAGATGTGACGTCCTCGCGTCATGCCCATTGCGAATTCGAGCGCAAGGACAGCCCAGCGAAACGTCTTTCGATCCGACGCGATGCAGTCATCGCAGATGAAGCTCACCCAGTCCAGTGCGAGCTTAGTCAGCTTGAGGTTGTTCATCTGCCGTCTGTTGCTGTCCATATAGAGCAGCGATCGTTGACCAAATTCTGTAGCAAAAACAAAACATGTCTGAATCAATTCTTGGCAGTCTTTGCCCCGGGCTTGCTTCCTGATGATCTCAACACTGTCCATGAAAGTGTTTGAAAGCTTGTATGCCACCCTCCTCAGCTCGGTCAGCCTTGTGTTTACTTTGTGAATGTTGGACCTCGACTCTTGTACGAGGTCAACATGCATATCCACTGCATCGAGGAACGCCCTTCGCGCATTGTGCAGTGTTTGAGGGCTAGAAGCACAAAGTCGAATGTGGCCTCGCTTCAAATCGATGTTCTGATCTCGCAATGGCACAGGGATTGTTTCGCCGAACCAGTTGAGCGGATCTTCAGGCCGAAGAATGAGTAGGTATTGCTCCCCGAGCTCGTCAGGGAACTGATCCTGGGACGTTATGGCCATCATAACCTGAATGTCCTCGAGCCTCTCCCGTAGGTGAGGGGATGCAATGACATATGTATTGTCCTGCTCAAAAACTCCAGTGTCCACCTGGAAGTGTGCAGAGGCAACCAGCTGATCGTAGAATTTCTGCATTGTCTCTGGGGTAAACGAGATGCTGTAATCCGACGCATGCTCATAGTTGTCGCTCAACATTCGGCTGAATCGTTGAAGCATTCGTTGACGAACTCGAACCGAATCAAGACAAGCCTTGTAACGCTTGCTCATCTCTGTTGCGCTCTCCTTGGGCTTCGCCTGCAACTCCTTCTCGAAAGTTTGACTCAGTCTGTTCAACGCCTTGAAGGTCAACGAACTGAACTGCTCCGCCACTTCAATGTGACCACGCTGCAGATGGCTGCCGATTTCGTTGGCAAAGTCCCATTCTTGGAATAGTAGTTCCGCTTCCTTGAACGTGTTTTTGTTGCCGCTCAGTTTCCAGTTGAGCATCTTGAAATAATACTTCAGTGCTTCCAGCACAACTTGGTCGAAAGACTCGTCGATGCAAGGGGGCAAGTCCCATCCTGGCTCCGGATTCGCGATGGAGGTGCATTCCAGTTTGATTCGAATGGCGAACTTGAGCAGAAGTTGGAACTGAGATATCATCTGATTTTGCATCAGGGGGTTTTGCTGGGCAGATTCCTTAACTCTCCGAGCATAAGCCAAACGTGTTCGAGTAATCTCTTCGATGAGGCGGGAAGGGAAGCTGATAAGTGTGAGGAGTTCCTCGAGATACGGTGGAAGATGCCGCTTGCGGAAAGGGGCAGAATTCCTGATGAGCGTGCCCTTGGCCTTGTTGATAACAATCGATATAGGCACGAGCATACCCTTCTCGTCGTCGTCGTTGTAGAGAGATTGAAGTCCGTCCTCCTTCATGAGCCTGTCCAAGAACGAAGTCTCGTCGTTGCTGATGCCGTTGACGGCGGGAGACCTTTGCTTGGTCCGTGTAAAGTCCAGATCATCGTTGCCCACCCATTTCTTGAGAATAGAGAGCTCGGTGTTGATCATTTCGTTTGTGTTGTACCACGAGATGATTGCTTCGTGCGCTTCCTTGAAAGCTGGAGAATCTGCCGCCTTGTGCTCTGCTGCGAGCGCAGACCAGGATGGATACAGGTTTTCGCACTTCTCAATCTTCTTCACCATGTCCTTGACTTGCTCATATGGTGGTTTCCCAACTTCACTCTCTCCTTTAACTTCAAAGTTGATAATCTCTTCCAGCGTGCGGTCCAAGGTAGACCGTGCTTCCTCAAGCATGCGTCTCTGGACAGGGATATGTCTTCCGCAGACCTTGGAACGAATGCCTAGCCATAGCTCGGTTTTGTGGGCGGATTTGCCGGCCTGCTGGTCGGCTGAACCAATCAATCGTTTCTTCTCTTGCCGTACGACGTCTCCCGTCAAGACAGCCTCCAGCATGCCATGCCACTCGAGCCTCTCGCGGTTTTCTGGGTCTTTTAGGTCTTCGTCTGTTGGTTGGAGGTTGTCATTCCCATAAAACATGATGGTTTCTTGATCAAAACGATCATCGTATGGGCCCTCTGATGACGGAGTCTCCCCTTCCGAATCTGAATCGTTCCCGTTCAGGCTCGAATACGATGTAAAGTATCCACCGCTATAGTCTTGCCGGAGTTTCTGGACATATGCTCGCTCCTGGGCGCGAAATCTGCTCTCAGTCTTTAGTGGGCGTGTCTTGGATGACGATCGGATGGCCTCGGTGAAGGATGGAGTTGCTTGTGGATGGCCTGGTTTTCTCGACGTTGCCGGATTGTATGTGCTCGAGGGCGTTCTCGCAGGACCCAGCGGCCGCTGTGGCCAACTGCCGTTGGCATATCCGGCGCCATCATCACCGGTGCTGCTTCGCTGTGACTTGGGGTTTCCGTTGATGACAGTCCCAGGATGCAGTGAGGTCAACGACCCGGTATGGGCCGATGATTCTGTGTACCGGGACAGTGTGCCCAGCTCGTCTTGACGCTCTGTCGCATGGGGGTCGCCATTGGATTCGTTCGCACCGTCGTGTCGGAGGCTGTTGATCTTATCGCAATGCTCGTCTTCGGTGCCCGAGAACCGTACACCTCGCGGTGATAACTCGGTCATCCTAGTGCCTTTGTCTGGGCCAGCACCCAGGTGGAGGTGGAAACCGATAGCCCCTCAACGCGGCGTGTGGGCTCGATGGCAGGGAGAGGAAAAGGAGTCGTGGATGGTGATAAGGGCCAGCATGTGGAGAAGGTCGCTTCTGCTCAAGATGCCGGGCGGACGGTTGATGATGGATCGAGGATGGCCATGGGGTGTTGAAGCTCGGGGGAGCTTCCGTTGAGTTGCAGGCAAATCGAGATGAATCGCATGGAGGAGTGGCGACGGAGTGGGCTCCATCAGGCTCGCTCAGCAGAGAAGCGCGCGCAACCAAGGCAAATTTACGCCTCATTCGCGCTTGTGATTGGCCTCTCCGCGTGGCTCGTGCGGCTAAGACCGGGTTTAGCTGTGGCTGGTGGTACCACCTCATGAGAGTGTTGCACGAGCTCCTTGTGGCTGCTTGCTCCTTTCCATGCTATCATGGATGACATTGGATTGAGTCTTGCAAACGTGGCAAACCATCAATGTGTGTCAATACGGTTGCGTGTCAAGCGGGCCTTGTTCGACGGGTAAACATTCACCTGCCAAGGGTAAAATGGGCCAGTACAGTAATGCGACCGATACTACCACGTTCCGCATTCCTTTTCCTTAGACTCCCTATTTGACTATCGCTAGACATTGTGAAATGTTTTGGGTGCCTGCCTATTCGATGACATATGAAGAGGCGCCCTTTTTTGGGTCCGGTTGGACGGATTGATTATCCTTCCATACAACCTGGTTGATGTCCCCGTCCCTGTGTGTGGGTGCGTGTCACATCGATGTTGTGGCACCTCGCTTGACACATGGCAATGGCAATAATCAACGTTGGCTTAACTGGTCCCCTAGACCGGGAAGATCGATTCCCATTGCACCTGATAACAAGTCTAGATAAAGCTACATTAACCTTGGGCTCCCCATGAGCCACTTGTTGCCACTATCGGTCAGTTACCTCAAGTTACCCTAAACATATGGGCAGTCCCAGTGGGAATAGTGACATGCATCATATTGGCCATGCTATGACACACCAAGAAGTACCAAGATAACAAACAACAATGCGAGAACTTAAAGTGTGCCTCGAGGGTTCTCTCACATGTGTATTCACCGCTAGTGCGTAATTCCATGATAGCCCCATGGTTATGCTAACCATGAGTTAAACTGCAGGGGACTCAAAGGAGATGGCTGCCTCCACAACAAGATGCAGCTCACCGAATGAGAGTAAATAAGTGAATAGCCCAACGGTTGGATAATCCCTGCCATTGTGGTACTCCCGAGAAATAGTTCTGATAGTCTAGCTCTGGACATCGTGGTGAGGCTTACAAAGGAAACTGGTTTAGAGCTGGAGGGCTATGGTGGCCTTCTGCAACCGCGTACATTTCGTAATACCCCAAACGCTACCTATCTTGAAGAGCGCTTGGCGACGGACTGGACCCCAGTAGGGATCCGTTGGCACACGCTCCGGTGCGGCGTCCGACAGCGGCTGGATCTAGTCGAGAACCTAGGGAACTCGTAGCCGACGGAGTCAAATGAGAGGATACGACGACTGCCATGGTCCCGAATAAGACTTGTTATCTAGAATGGATGAGGATGTGTGTTGACGAAATTGACGGGGTATTCACGGGTTCTTCTCCCCGAGGGAGGTAGATACTGTGCCCATCTGTAAGTGTAACTGGATGTTGAAGGTCCTTACTTACACCTTCAACCGGCTTCCCCACCTCAAGATCACACCAAACTCCTGGCTGCAGAAAACCTCCCATTACACTCTTGGCAGCTACGTCACTCGAGGACACAGAGTCCACTGCGAGCTCACCAAGCGTTGCTGGTCAACTGGTGTAATAGAGACAACATACTGAAAGTCGGGCTAATTGGTACCGGGGGTAACCCGAGGACATTCACACATCCAGAACTTTTGTACTCAACATCCATGTGATGTGATCAGGTAGACTGCGGCGAAGCGACAACCACCAACCTGGTTGCTGGCACGAAGCGAACGTGTGACGAGTCATCCTGCAGTCTTGGAGATATTATCCAATGTCGGTCTGCAAAGTGTAGCAATAGCAGAATCGCAACTTGCCGATATAGCCTCGTGCGACTCACTAAAGAAGAGCAAACAATACCGATTGGGATGGCGCCTCAAGCCTGCATGAATAGAATTGCACGAGGGGCGACCAAAAAAAGTCCGAGCGAAACACGATGGACTCGCACATTAACGCGCAGGCAATTGGGCTCGAGTCAGTTGCAGAGCACATGGGCACTTCTGTCCGTCCCTCTCGGAGGCTCCAAGCCGGCAGGCCGAAGCACCCGACACGCTGCGCTGCGCGGGATAAGACCACCTGGGTGGTTCGGTCAGAAGTCCTCCAGACACCGACCGTCGTGTCGTGTAGCAGATGAAGCGCGAAGCTCAGGGAACTGTAATTTGGACACTAACGGCTTAGATGAAACTCTGGACAGCGCTTTGACCTGATGCCGCTGGCCCAATCCGGTAAGGAGAGGGAAGACAAACAAAGGATTTGGGAGACAGTCGGTGGCTCGGATCCCGTCTCCTTGGGGCACCTGTTTCTGGGCAGATACGACCAGGTCGACTGCTGGCCCCTTCTCACCCAAGTCCGTGAGCCCTTGAGTGTCGATTTGTCTGCAAGTGACGGTGTTTAGAGTTGAACGTTTGATCTTTTCCACGTGGCGACTGCATTTTTGGCATCGAATAGTGGCTGGTGAGGGCCACGCTAGGTGGGTATGGGGACGGCTTCTGCCTCTGATCGACATGGCACGGCTGTGGCTGGCGACATGGGCGCATTCCATCAGTCCAGGATATTCTTAACTCGCGTGATTCAATCTCCCCGATCACTTCTCCGAGCCCGGTGGGGAGCCTGGTATGATATGAGCATCGCCTGGAAGTTTGTTACCCTTCGTTTCTGCTAGACCATCTCAAGCGTCCCGCCATGGACAAGTCGTCGAGGTACTTCCAGGGTTTGTAGCCATGCCGTGGCGGCTCCGTTGCGAACACCACGCGGCCTGGAAAGCCAATTCGCGCTTGGGTAGCACCAGCACCAGCAAAAGCCGAGCTGTGTCCACACTGACACGCTTCCAGCAAGGGTTGAAAGGAATTGGAAGCTTCTGTCGACCTCAAGGGAGCTTCGCTTCGATCATGGTTGCTCCTAAACTAGTACGCGACGCCGTCGGACATGTCCTGCCTTGATGAAAGCCAATAGTTCAGCGTTAGATTGATTGAGGCGTTGTTTGGCCCTGATGCACCAAAACCTCACGTCATGATCTTGAATCCACTGTCAGCATCTCTTTGGTTATCTCGAGCTGAATAAAGGAAGATTGCGATCCATTTTTACCAAGAAGTCCCAGGACGAATCTGCTTCTCAATGAGTGAAGCCTCTGCAATATCGAACAAGGGAGTGCCCTGTAGACGTTGGCTTTCAGCTTTGATCACTAATGCATTGTTTGCCATGACGCCTGAGCTGAAGATCTTCATGGCCCTTGGCGCACCTTGAGGCGCTCCAGGATGGTATCCTGATTCATGAGGCTACTCGGTCGTTGGTTCCAATAGACCTCTTGGCATGCGGTCAATCTCATCGAGGTGATATGAAATCGGCGCAAAGGGACCGTATCCTGGTCAGCGCGGGTACTCGCGAGGTCCGGGTGGATAACCATGTTGCTACCATGGCCAATGCTCGTGTATTAGTTGGTCATTGCACCTCAATCAACAACATGTCTGAGGGAATAGAAGCTGCTTTGTGGCCGGACTAGCAGGTCAAAGCTGTCAGGACTAACCGGCTCCATGTCAAGCGTCGTTCTCATTGCCTTCCATGGCCTGATCAGCCGAGTAAAACGTGGTTGGTGCCTTTGGTGAAGCAGTGTTGCATGCTGCTCCGCTTGATCAAAGGTCAATCAATGTTTGCATCAACCCACACTAGAATCCTGCTGGTGCATGGAACTGATCGAGGTTTTTCTTTTTGCAGCTCTCTAGCGATGTAGGTAAAACGGTACCCGTAGTGTGCCGTGGCGATGGAACCTTGCACCCTGTTGTGTGCGGGGCATCTCGCTAGGCCGTTCCTGAGCTTTGAGCCCGGAATATCAAGCTTGACGAGGGAACCTGGGTGCGAGGCTGCGCAGTTTTGAATCCAGGACAGGGTCTGCTGAGGCCTCTTGCGTTGGTGACAGAGGAGGAGAGGATGGTTCTGCCTGGACTGGGGCATCCGAACAGGCCCATGGGTGCAGTTGGGCCGGTGGGTTGATGAGGAGACGAAAGCTTTGGTGATGCCGAAAGCAAGAAACCAGACCATGCCCAAAAGATACCGCCGGGCGTGGGGTCGAGAGGCCAAACCCTGGCTAGGGCTGACCAGTCTGATGTACGAGACGCAGAAAGAGAACCATGTACTGTAGGTACCCGAAGGTTCGCCTCGCTGGCTGTCACAGCTTGGTGGAGAGCCAGAGGTTCACCCCGGATTTGGGCTGGATTTGACATGTCAAGTAACCGAATGCCTCTTGATGTTTGGCCAGCCGTGCCAGCCTCTGCTAGGCGATCACACCGAGGGTTTCGAGCCAGTGGAGCCAATGGGCAGTGTCACCGTCTGGTAGTCCACGAGCGTGCGTGGCAACCAGGGTTGATGGCGGCCCAGGGCATGGGCGGTTTGTTGATCGGCGTGCTTGGGCCGTAACTTGATACCAACACCAACAGCCGACCAAGATAGATCACGGGGCGGGAGTTGGTGGGCAGCAGGGACAAGGTGAGGACCAAAGATGCAGCACAATGTGGCGATAGCTGAAGATTGAAGATTAGAAAAGGAGAGACCAGATGTTTGCCCCCGAAGGAAGCTACCAAGGTACCCGAATGGATATTCTGTGCTGCATCCTAGCGTGCAGAATTGCAGCAGCAGACTCACCCAGGCCAGGGCTGATTTGCAAGGGCGGTACGATGCAGGAAAGCCAAAGCGACGGATGGATGAAAGCGGAGGTGGAGATGGGATGCTGCATGGAGG